CTAAGCAGTAAATCCTCTTGCTTTTTGGCTTCAAGCAAGCTGCACTCAGAACTCTCTGCCCCCTTCAGCTTCCATTCCCTTCTCTCCTGTCTTATCCTGTCTTATACCCGTCAGTCTTGTGTTTCAACAGGCCCATGTGGAAACATCGGCCCCCCTCCAGATCGGATTCCAATCCTGGAACCAACATACCAGCCCGTCACGGATCCGAGCGTGGTTTCTTTGGTCGCTCGAAAAAGAAGTCTCCGCTTCGTAAGTCTATACCACTGTCTTGATTGCTTTTCTTATCTGCTCTCGTACTAGCGTTGGTCATGAGGATGTGTTAGGTTTCGGCTGCTTGAATCTTATATGGTTGTTTCCTGCTGCTGCTGCAACATTACCTCTGCCTCTCTCTGCTTCTGGTCCCTCTGCTGTCTCTCCTTTGGACCCATTCCTGTCTCCTCCACACCCTTAAACTGCGTTTACTCTCCACTCACCACTCTCTTTCCTACTTCCTCTCAATTCTGCATTGCATCGCTGCTCTCTGTCTTTGAAGGGGACGGCCATCATTCCGGAATCCACGGGAGAGCACGCTGTGTTATGCTACCCTACCTTACCATTTCCTTACTTTCATCTCTACCGCTGAGGTCCATCACCCTCGACTACATCTTTTCTCTTCAGTGACTGACATCGATCAACGAATCACCGCTTGCAGACACCTCCGGTTCTGACTCTAACACTCGTTCATTACGCCCGTTTCGTTCCTTCACCCACCGTTCAGACCGTCCAGGGAGCGGTTATTCAGGCCATTCCGACCCCACTCGACCCCGCGCATCTTCGAACGCGAATAGTGCTTCCGGCTATCCGAACAATAACCTCAATTCATCTTCTGGCTCTGTCGGCGCAGCAAACCCCATGGCGGCCGTGGACGTGGACCGCAGCCGGACGCGGCGCGAGAGGACCTTTGTGGGCAGTGATTGCGCCGTGTGTGACGAGCCCTTAGAGCATACCCTGCGGGGAGAGCGAGTTCTGCAATTCTCCTGCGCACACGTATCACACGAGGCCTGCTTCTATGAGTTCATCCGCGAATGTGAGGGCCAGTACTGCCCTACATGCGATGCGCCGCTTGGCTTGGACACTAGTCGGGGAGGCAATGTGCTCGATCTTGGTAGGTGGAAAGTGCGCTCTAGGTGTCATATTGACATGTGCTGATCGATCATGCATAGAAAAACTAAGCAATATTGTCCGCTCAGTGACCAGCGACGCAGCTACGCAACGAAGTGGTTATACGACCCCTACGCCATGGGATTCGAACTCAGCCCCCGGACGTCGTCCCAGTGATGCAGGAAGTCGCCCTAATACCAACCGCGAAAGCCGGGATATGTATATCCGTCGAGACAGCAGAGACACTGGCAGCCATCGCGATCGTGTCGAACGTCTCACCCAGGGCTCCCGCCAACAGCATTCACGAAACGGCAGTGCCGCCGGGTCATCCGCCGATTACAATGATCCACAACATTCGGCCAATGTCAGACGGCATGACTACGACGTGCAAGCCATGGAATCCGACCTCAGCCCCCGTCCACCCATCACGAAGAAACCCATCCCGGCTCCGACTGTGACCATTCGCAGCGAATTTCCCACCCTCAACCGTTCCCGCCAACAGCAGGCCCTGACCTGTCTAATCACCGTCGAAGTGCCCGAGGGTAGTTGGCGCCCAGATGACGATGATTTACGCCACACAGAAAATGCTACGCCTCAACCACAGGACGAAACATTGAGCGCCATGCGATTTCCCACCGTTCAAGAGCCTCGACAGATTCCTTTCGAACCGCAGGAGAATCTGGACGAACTTGCGGAGCAGTTGCGTAAGAAAGTTGACAATTGGCATGGCCTGGAATTCCAACGGTAGGTTCATTTCATCAATTGCTGGTGCATCCCTGAAGCTGACGTGAGTAAAGGTTCGGCAAGCTTAGATTGCATGGTCAGATGAGCGTGGGCAAAGATCGTCAATCCTGGCAGGAGCTGGAATGCTATCTGTTCGGTGAGATGCTCATTTGTGTGAAGGAGAAGAAAAGCAACCCCCGTCGTCACCCTGATGAGGAGCCAGCGAAGGCAAAGACTACGAGGTCAACGCTGAAAGGATCAATCTTGATCAAGAAGCACCTTCAGAGCATGGAGGTCTCGCCAGGTGAGTTGAACTGCCAGGAGTAGGTGACCTTGATGACTGACAGTGGTGTAGATGACCTTGTCCTGACTTTGAACTTGTCTGTGGCCGAGCTTCCTTGCTTCTACCTTCGCTTCCCTACCCGGAAACAGCTTGACATTTGGCGACGGGCCCTCATCGATTTACATCCAGTGGATGGCATGTCCCGGAACGGCGACTTTGACTTGGATAATTCTGGTGCGGAGGAAGAAGAGTACCGAGCCAGCCAGATCAAACGCCAGGCTTCTCTAAACTCGTCCCACGGAGCGGCTCGCTCCAACAACACGGCTATCACCGATTATACCAATGCCGGCATGGATAGTCCATATCAATCCTCGTTTCACATTCCCCTGGACCTTGTTGTCGTGATACCGGTCTCTTCGTCCATGCAGGGACTGAAGATTACTCTCCTCCGAGATGCTCTCAAGTTCCTTGTACAGAACCTTGGCCCTCGCGATCGCATGGGGTTGGTGACTTTCGGCTCGAGTGGTGGAGGGGTTCCGCTAGTCGGCATGACTACCAAGAATTGGGGTGGTTGGAGCAAGATTCTCGACTCTATCCGCCCGGTGGGCCAGAAGAGCCTTCGTGCCGACGTCGTTGAAGGTGCTAATGTGGCTATGGACCTGCTCATGCAGCGCAAGTCGGCCAACCCTGTCTCCTCTATCCTTTTGATCAGCGATTCCTCCACGTCCGATCCGGAGAGTGTCGATTTCGTTGTCTCCCGTGCGGAGGCTGCCAAGTTCGTATTCGTCATACCACCTTGAGAAGTGCTTTTATACTGACCATATGCAGGATTAGCATTCACTCCTTCGGTCTAGGATTGACCCACAAACCGGACACGATGATCGAACTGTCAACTCGCACCAAAGGTTCATACCTCTATGTCAAGGACTGGATGATGCTTCGCGAGTGCGTGGCTGGTTGCTTGGGTTCCCTGCAATCGACTTCGCACCAAAATGTCAAACTCAAGCTTCGTCTGCCCGAAGGGTCCCCGGCCAAGTTCGTCAAGATTAGCGGCGCTCTTCACACCACAAAAAGGGCCACAGGGCGCGATGCGGAGGCTGCTCTTGGAGATCTGCGCTTCGGAGATAAGCGCGACATTCTCGTTCAACTCGTTATTTCTCCGGATAATTCGAGTCAGGACAATCTGCCTCAAGACGCCTGGGAGAGTCTAGTCTCGGGACTCGAGGCACTTGGAGGTGTATCGGACACTGATGACCAGCGTGTGTCTAGTGTGGAGGAGGTCCCATTGATCCAGGCAGATCTGACTTATGGTGACCTCTTGAGAGACGGCCATCTCACACATTCTCCCCGACCTTCGCTGTTGGCCATTACAATGCTTCCTCCGAACCCGAAAGCCAAGCCTGGCCGTCCCTCTAGCCCCCCTATTCCGCCTCTTCCGTCCATTGTTCAGCGACGCATGGAGTTATTGACGTCCGACATGCTAACGAGAGCACTCATCCTCGTGTCGCGTGGGCAGCATGATCGCGCACAACATCTTTTGACCGAGACTCGCAGTATCCTGAAGGGTCTTGGCAAGGGTAGCCTGCCTCCTCTTCCTCCTGGAGCGAAGCCCTCTGGTGCTAGTGACTCTGGTAGTCGAGGTGGGACCCCCACATCGTCCTCATACGATGGCCACTCCGGATCTTCAGACACGGCAACCATCACGCCAGGAGCTGGGGTTGACGCGCAGACCATGACCGCCTTGGACGCTGATCTCAAGGCCGCTCTGGAGTGGATCAACCACCCAGCTGTTTTCTCCCGCGACTCGCGCAAGGCTGTTCTGCAGGGAATCGGCGTGATCTCCTCGCAGCGTGGTTACACCTTCCGTTCTCCTGCTGAAGCTCACTGGGCACAGCGCGTGGCTGGAGTCCGCCGCTTGACTGACCGCTCCAAAGAATGGCGGGAAACCGGCGGCGACGCTCTGATG